CCTTGAGCTGAAGAGCTGAGGGACAGCGCCCAGGCCTAGAGTTCAGGCCCACTACCGGACTCCCAAAAAAAAAGAGTCTCACGGACTTTCTTGCTCGGGTTGGCTTTGAACTGTGATCCTCAGATCTCAGCCTCCTGAGTATCTAGGATTACAGGCATGAGCCACCGGCACCTGGCTTCCATGAGACTCTTATCTCCAACTAACCAACAGAAAACCAGAAGTGGCGCTGTGGCTCAAGCGCTTGCCTTGAACTGAAGAGCATAGGGACAGCACCTAGGCACAGAGTTTGAGCCCTATAACAGACAAAAAAAAAAAAAAAAAAGAAAAAGAAGTTGAGGCCCTTTCTTCAAGCTCTAGTACTAGCAAAACAAAACACAACAGAATGAACAAACACAATTACCATCTGTTTACTCAGTCAAGTGTCAAAGATTTGATATTGTAGGACTCACAAGACATTTAGTTTAATCCACTGAAAATACATGATTATTCAATTAGTTAGTCCTGTGGCTTGAAGTCATGGCCTAGGCACTGTCCCTGAGCTTTTGGATCAAAGCTGGTAATCTACCACTTGAGCTACAGCTCCACTTCTGGCTCTTTGGTAGCTAACTGGAGATATGAATTTTACAAAGTTTCCTGCCGGAGGTGGCTTCAAACTGTGATCCTTAGATCTCAGCCTCTTGAGTAGTTAGGATTACAGGCAAGAGCCACTGGCACCTGGCTGATTATTCATTTTTGAGATGGAGTTTCACCTCTCTGGCTTAAGTAATACTCCCACCTCAGTCTCCTGAGCAGCAAAAAGTAAATATGAATGCCACTGTGCTCAGCTAAAAAAACAAAAAAAACGTGTGTGTGTGGGTGCCAGTACTGGGGCATGGGACTGGGTGCTCATTGTCCTGTAACTATTTTGTTCAAGGCTGGAGCTCTACCACTTGAGCCACAGCTCTATTCATATCTTATTTTTTTGTGCCATTCCTGGCACTTGAACTCAGGGCTTGAGCACTGTCCTTGAACCTCTTTTGCTCACAGCTTCATTCCCAGAGTTTTAGTGGTTAATTGGAGATAAAAAATTCATGGACTTTACTGCCCAAGCTGGCTCTGAACTGTGATTTCCAAATTTCAGCCTCCTGAATAGCTAAGATTGCTGGCGTGATGCCCATGTAATTGTAACCCCTCTGTATGGTATTTTCACAATTACAAACAAATAATAAAAAAAATTGCTGGCGTGAGCCACTGGTGCCCAGTGACTTCCAGCATTTTGATGGTTAACTGGAGATAAGAATTTCTGGGACTTTCCTGCCCAGTCTAGTTTCAAACATGATCCTTGAGTCTCAGCCTCCTGAGTAGGATTACAGGCATGAGCCACCAATGCCTGGTAAAATATGTTATTTTTAAACCAATGAAATGTTAAAATTTTCTAAACAAAAGAACCCAACAAAACAAAACCTATAGCCAGGCACCAGTGGTTTACACCTATAATCCTACCCACTTTGAAGGCTTGAAGCCAGCCCTGGTAAGAAAAGACCATGAGACCTTCATCTCCAATTAACCAAGAAGCTGAGTGTGGCTCACCTGGCAATAGAGTGCTAGCCTTTAGCCAAAAAGCTCAAGGACATTACCAAGGCTCTCAGTTCAATACTTACAACTTGCATGCATGTATGTGTGCGTGCGCATGCACATGCACGCACACACACAGAAGAAAAAAAGAAAAAAGAAAGTCTGGAGACAGTTACTCTTTCCAATTTCAAGATAATGGGTTCTTTTTGCTTATAGGACTCCAGTGGTTTATCACTTCGTTTCAAGAAGCAATATGGTAAGACCAACGTATTTGGTAAGCAAAGAATTTAGGTACACAGTAAGTTTTTCAAAATATCCATTTTTTTGCCACTTTTAGAAGGAATATTGATGTTTCTCTGCAAGCTGAGGTTGGGAGAAAGAAAAGAAACAGACTGTTTTGTCCTCTTTTTCTTCTTCTGGTCTTTGAATATGACTTTGTCCTCTACTAAAAAACAAGCCATTCTCTTGTTCCTGCTCCACTAGCTTTATAGTTTTCAGGAGGTTCTTTTTTTTATCACCAGAAAATATATTTCCAGTTTCACAAAGGTTTTTACTGCTACACGGAGACTGCTCTGCTGCCAATGTCTGCAGCAACGCCATTGCCACCACGTGGTACACGTGAGTACTTACATCACTGATCAAACTGAAGCCAAGGCTCAGCCTCACTAAGACAGGAATGAAATCACCCACAGACATCTGGCCAATGCTTTAGCAGCTAAATTCGTTCTGCTACCATTATTCTATCTAACCTCTATGTGGCCATTAAATAGACCAGCAAAAAAAAAAAAAAAGAGTAGTGAGAGAATTAGAGTTAGATAACTTTTCCTTTAGGTTTTCCCATTGGAAATACTTCATAGCGTAGATAAATTCTCTTATAGGCAATTGGCTGAATACATTAGGGAGAACAAAAGCTAGCAAGTCTTAATTCTAGTCATGAAATGTTTCTTTGAACTCTACTTTTTTATTGCCATAGTGCTACTCTGATGTGTACTGCTAACACAGCCGCACTGATGCACAAGTTTCCTGAAAGCCATGTTTTTGGGTCCGGTTGTGGAGCCTGAACTCTGGCCTGGGTGCTGTCCCTCAGCTCTTCAGCTCAAGGCTAGCACTCTACTGCTTGAGCCACAGCGCCACTTTCGCCTTTTTTCTTTTTGCTTATGTGGTGCTGAGGAACCAAACCCAGGGCCTCAGGCATGCTAGGCAAGCACTCTACCACTGAGCCACCTTCCCAGCCCTGTGCTGGGATATTAGAAGGCTGGCAAAACCACACCAGACTTCTTGTCACTTTTGTCTTTCCAATGCCTACTCAGTATTCATTAGTGCAGAAATCAATGAATGAATATAATTAAGCAGTCATTGGTTTAAAAAGTTATTAGCACTAGCAAATTAGGCATTCTCTATCCTCTGTATACTTTTTAGTTCTGTGTAAACAGATCCCACTTCTATCATTTTTGTTGTGTGTGCTACTTCTGATTTTAAGTTACTTTGTTTTCAGTGATTCTTAATAAAACACTCTGCAAAATGAATCCTGAACAAACAGACATGGATCTCTGGGAATAAGATCAGGGATATTAAAAAAACAAAGAAGCAGTTTATTGAATGTCAAATATAATACAATATGGTGAAGGCAGATGGAATTTTAAAACTTGGAGGGAGGAAGGGTGAACACATGCAATCATGCTATTCAGTATATACAATGTGGGAAATGACCTATGTAACTCATGGGCAAGGATGGGAGGGGGAATCTGGGGCAAAGTAGGGGAAGAAGTAAATTGTCCAAAACAAGAAATGTACTCATTGTCTGACTTATAAAACGATAGCCCCGGGAAGGTGGCTCAGTGGTAGAGTGCTTGCCCTGCATGCATGAGGCCCTGGGTTTGATTCCTCAGAACCACATAAGCAGAAAAAAAAAAGCTGGAAGTGGTGCTATGGCTCAAGTGGTAGTACGCTAGGCTTGAGCTGAAGAGCTGAGGGACAGCGCCCAGGCCCAGAGTTCAGGCCCCATGACCAGATCCCCCCCAAAAAAAACCACAACATAAAACGATAGCCCCTTTGTATAATACATTAATACTACTACTAATAAAATTATTTAAAAAACAAAACACTGGAGGGTGGGGAGTGTGGCTTAGTGGTAAAGTACTAGCCTAGCATGCATGAAGCCCTGGGTTCGATTCCTCAGTACCACATACACAGAAAAGGCTAGAACTAGTGCTGTGGCTCACGTTGTAGAGTACTAGCCGAGAGCAAAAGAAGCTCAGGGACAGTGCTTAGGTCCAGAGTTTAAGCTCCAGGACTGGCAAAAACAATAACAACAACAACAACAACAAACCTACTGGAACTTAAAACTTTAAAGCACAAGGGACAAAATCAACTGACAGGCCTCATGTCCATATCTAGAAAAGAGTGGAGGAAGCCGGGCACCAGTGGCTCACGCCTGTAATCCTAGCTACTCAGGAGGCTGAGATCTGAGGATAGCAGTTCAAAGCCAACCCAGGCAAGAAAGTCCATGAGACTCCTATCTCCAATAAACCACTAGAAAACCGGAAGTGGCGCTGTGGTCCAAGCGGTAGAGCGCTTGCCTTGAGCTGAAGAGTGCAGGGACAGCACCTAAGTCCAGAGTTCAAGCCCCATGACTAACCAAAAAAAAAAAGAAAGAAAGAAAAGAGAAAAGAGCAGAGGAATTGTAGAAAGAGAAAAGATCTCCTAAAGCCTTTTCACCAATTTAGTCACCATGGCAATTCTGCAGAGGTGGAAAACAGGTAACAAACCAGGAACAGAATGCAGTCACCTCAAAGTGTTTTTTTTTTTCTAACTCCAATGAACTTCGGGCCTAGAGGTCTTTATTCTGTATGGAGAATGGACAACAGAAGAAACAACCTCCCTGTAGTTCTTGCAATAGTACCCAGATTTATAAGATTTTGTAACTGGATACTATCCAGTGTTGGCAAAGCTAAAAGAAAATAGGAACTCAAATCACAGGGGCTGGAGAAGCACAAAACTATTTAATCTCCTCCTCCTTCTCCCTTCTTCTCCTCCCTTCTCCTTCTCCTTCTTTTTTTGTAGTACTGGAGTTTGAAGTCAAAGACTCACCTTGTGTACCCTACCACTGGAGTCATGCTTCAACTTTTTAAGCTATTTTTCAGATAGTCTAGAGTTCTTTGCTTGGGACCAGCATGGACTGAAATCTCCTACTTAGGCCTCCCATGTAGCTGGGATACCAGATATTAAGATAATGTCTGTCTAAATTTGTTGTCTAGGCTGACCTCCAACCACAATCTTCCCAATCCACCACTTACTTTACTGGGATTCCAGTCATGAGTTATTTCATCATAATTGGTTAAATCTTTCTTTGTTAAGATTTTTTTTTTTTTAAAAGCTGGGCACCAGTTGCTCACACATGTAATCCTAGCTACTCTGGAGGCTGAGATCTGGGGATCACTATTCAACAACAGCCCAAGCAGAAAAGTTCCTGAGACTCTTTTTTTTTTTTGTCGGTCATGGGGCTTGAACTCTGGGCCTGGGCGCTGTCCCTCAGCTCTTCAGCTCAAGGAGACTGCTCTACCACTTGAGCTACAGTGCCACTTCCGGTTTTCTGGTGGTTTATTGGAGATAGGAGTCTCACGGTCTCTCCTGCCCGGGCTGGCTTTGAACCTCGATCCTCAGATCTCAGCCTCCTGAGTAGCTAGGATTACAGGCGTGAGCCACCAGCACCAGGCTAGAGACTCTTATCTCAAATTAACTACCAAAAGGCCAGAAGTGGAGCTGTGGCTCAAGTGGAGGCAGAACCCTAGCCTTGAGCAAAAAAGGTCAGTGACAGCATCCAGGTGCTGAGTTTAAGCCCTAGTACCACAAAAACAAAAACAAAAGAAGCTGAAACAAGACTGAATTTTGGTAGCTCATAGGCTCATTTTGGTAGCACATATGCTAAAACTAGGAAAGTACAGAGGTTAGCATGGCCCCTGTGTAATAATGAAATAAAATTCATAAAGTGTTTCACATTTTAAATTCCTGCTCCCCTTCAAATAAACCTCATGTTAAATGATAATTTTGGGCTGGGAAGGTGGCTCAGTGGTAAAGTGCTTGCCTCGCATGCATGAGGCCCTGGGTTCAATTCCTCAACACCACATAAGCCAGAAGTGGTGCTATGGCTCAAGTGGTAGGGTGCTAGCCTTGGGCTAAAGAGCTGAGGAATACCGCTCAGGCCCAGAGTTCAGCCCCCCTGACTTCAGACCCCTCCCCCCCCACAAATGATCATTTTTTAAGTATGTGAACTTGGGAAAATTTTGTACTTTTTTTTTTTTGGTTGGTTGTGGGGCTTGAGCTGTGGGCCTGGACTCTGTCTCTCAGCTCTTTAGCTCAAGGTCAGTGCTCTACCACTTGAGCCACAGCACCACTTCCAGTCTTCTGGTGTTTAATTAGAGATAAGAGTCTCATGGACATTCCTGCTTGGGCTGGCTTTGAACCATATCCTCAGATCTCAGCCTCCTGAGTAGCTAGAATTACAGGCGTGAGCCACCGGCACTCAGCAATTTTTGTACAAGTTTTACAATATAAAAATCAGGAAACAGGCTGGGAATGTGGCTTAGTGGTAGAGTACTTGCCTAGCATGCATGAAACCCTGGGTTTGATTCCTCAGTACCACATAAAAAGAAAAAGCCAGAAGTGGCATTGTGGCTCAAAGTGGTAGAGCACTAGTCTTGAGTAAAAGAGCTCGGGGACAGCACTCAGGCCCTGAGTTTGAGCTCCATGACCGCCTGCCTCCTCCCCACCCACCCCCCCAAAAAAATCAGGAAACAGAGCCATGTTCTATAAGGCAGATAATATAAATACAATCATGCTTTCAAATGTTTTTGCTATGGGGAAGATGAGTTTTCAAGGCCTAGCTTATTAACTAAATTCAGAATTTTGTGGTCTACAATGAACTAGATGATGTGTATATATACAGCATTATAAATGAAGTAATATGAATTCCATAGCGGTGCTTACAATTTAAGGAGACATTATTATACACAACTGTTGTGACATTAACTCAAAGGACAAGATCAACAGATAGAAGAACACAGTTACATACCACTGAATGCAAAAGAGATCTCACACTCAAACATATGTGCTTTTTACCTGAGAGGTTAAAAAATCGTTCTGTGAGGACACTTCTGAGATATTTTCAGAAAGGTTTGTTTCACTGTCATAGCCAGATGCTGCTTCACCTTAGATGATAATAAAAAGAGGTTAAGATGTAAAAACAGACCATAAACATCGCAATCTGCTGAATTGGTTTTATCCCTTGGGCAGGATTGGTTTTACTTTCATACTACCTAAAACTCCTGGGTTTGGGACATCATAAAATTTCAACCAGAAGCAAATCCACCAATGATTAGGACATAAATGCTGGTTTAGTAGCAGATGTTCTGGCTGTATGAATGACTTTTGATGTTTTAGGAAAAGAAGCTTAAGAGGAATAGTTTTCAAGTTTAAGTAGTGATTAATTTAACTGTACTTGAAAATTTGTAAAAGATGCTCTGTAAAAGGTATAAACATGCCCGTTGCCAGTGGCTCACACCTGTAATCCTAGCTACTTGGGGGCTAGGATATAAGCCAAAGCCAGTCAGGGCAGAAGAGTCTGTGAGACTCTGATCTCTAATTAGTGCCCCCCCCCAAAAAAAAAGAGCTGGAGGTAGAGCTGTGGCTCAAGTGGTAGAGCACTAGCCTTAAGCACAAAAGCTCAGGGACAGTGCCCAAGTTCTGAGTTCAAGCCCTAGGACAAGCACACACACCAAAGAGAGGCATAAACCTGATGGTTACCAGTGGCTCTCATCTGTAATCATAGTTACTCAGGAGGCTGAGATCTGAGCATCATGGTTCAAAGCCAGCCCAAGCAGGAAAGTCCCTGAGACTCTTATCTCCAAATAACCACCAAAAAAACCTAGAAGTGGAGCTGTGGCTCAAGTGGTAGAGCATCAGCCTTGAGGAAAAGCTCAGATATAATCCCCAGACCCTGAGTTCAAACCTGAGGAACACCCCCCTCAAAGACATAAACATTTATTATTATAAAACAGACTAGGGCAAACAAACATACAAACAACAAAAACAGTCAACCCTGGTTTGAGTACCTAAGTTTGAATCCGTTCTTTCCTCTTCTTCCAGGTCAGGTTCCCTTTCTTCATCATCTGAAACCAATCCTCTGTCACTCAGAACAATAACTTCCTGGTTCATTTGTTTGGGAGAAGAAAACATCAAGAAGGAATCTTGGGAGTTGGAGTTTGTAGTCAGGTCTACCAATGCACCATGATGTGAAGGCCCTGTATTGTTAGAGCACTGTGTTTCCTGGGATGCTTCCACTAAGATCTCATTATTGTTGACTTGTAAGCTATTCCTCAGTGATACTGGGTTCTCCTCTGTTTCCTGAGACAGACACTTTATTGTATGTCTGATAGACTGAAATGGTGTATTGGTTACTTTACTAAATAAGAAGTGTCGGAAGCTGGGAAGATCATCATCTATTTCAAGACCTTGAGCCAAAGATGTAGGGGTTAAAGAAGGGCTAGGGCTCTGGCTGAACTCTCTTTTCTGAATACTTTTGCTAAAAACAGCAGATGTTTCCTCAATGGCACCTTCAGTAAAGCTGGTATTTTCCTTTATTTCATCATTATATAACAGATCCTCAGGTGTCTCAGGACAAATCTGAGAGACATCATTACTTGTCATACCTGTTTCTAGGGTATCTGAAATTAGACATGGAGAAAAATCTGCACCAACAACCTGAACTACTCCTTCATTTTCTGTTTGCTCTTTTATTTCAGGATGCTTACAATTACTTACAGGGAGAGTTTGGTTATAGGCTTCAGGTTGCGTATGACCTAATCGTAGCACAGCATTTAGTTCAGGCCCTCGGCTTCTGTTTAGTTCTTCTTGAATGTTTTCAACACTAGAAGCTACTTCGTTAATACTGGAGCCTCCTCCAGTAGTACTGGAGCCTACTTCATTAATACTGCCTGGGCTGGCTCCTTTAAAAGCATTTTCTATGTTATTTGGGCTAAACATGCACAGTGTACTTTGAATAATGCTCTCACTTTCCAATCCTTCTTCAGATGACATTGACTGTTTCTCAAACATTTGCTTACATTTAGTTTTAACAGATGGCCTGACTGGAGAAATTGATGGTATAAGATATGAATTCTGTAAAATTCTAAGTTTATTGGCAGAAGTTAGTTCATTGGCGGTTAACTGAGATGATGGGCAAAGCCCAGAGGTTTTTGCAATGCTACTACTACATTCAGCATTATCCCCTGGCTCATGCTTCTGACAAATCACAGGGAAATCCGTAGTGGCCTTGATTGCCTGTGCAAGCCTGGTTTTAGACTCTTTGTCCTGATGGTTTTCTCTTTGTTTATATTCAAGAATGACATTTGGACTTTGCTTACTTAAGGATATAGAGTGGGCAGAGACTGTGGCACATTCCTTTTCTGGATTTCCTGAATTTGAAAACAGAGCAAATGACTGACGCTTTGAATCTTGGAATGTGTTCTGCAGATACTGGGTATCAAGTTCACTCTCTTCTGTTTCTATATCACTCTCCAGCATGTGGCTACCTTCCTGTCTCAATGGATCCATAAAGCCTTCTGTGTCGTGTCTAGTAGTTTTAGAACAATCATGGATAATGTGGTTGGGGTTTCCAACTGCTTCATACTGAATCTCACATTGATTTGATGCTGTTTTCCCCCTTCTAAGGGGGTTAATTTCTAGTAATGAGATACTGTCCTGGGTGTCATATTCAGAATCAGGTGTCCATGAAAGACTGGTACTGTCTGCAGATAATTCAGTTGGCATTGCCCTTTCTCCATTTACCAACCGATCTCTGGGATCTTTGGTAAGATTTGGCACTTCTATTGTTTCTAGGTTCTCTTCTATTTCTTCTCTCTCAAGGCTAGGTCCGACAGATTCTTCAAGTTTATTAGAACTTGAGCAGTTAGTAAAACCAGCAGGTGTGTTTGTTAACTTTGGTTCTGAGGAAACATCACTATCACATATCTTACTTATTTGTTCATCTAGCTTGTTACTCTTTTTGGCTCCAGTTGTAGACTGTGTGTCTTCTAGGAATTGAAGTGTTCTGCCACACCTATCTGATGTTTGACTGGAACTTTTTTTTGTCTCCTCATTGCTTGTACAACTGTTAATTTGTAGTTCACTAGGAGTAGGTGGGCTTAGAGCTCTGAATACTACATCAGGTGCATGAAGATGTCTGATAGGGGGCTTTCTCCTCAGCCTATTTTTCTTAGGTAGTTTTGGACTGCAGGTATTTAATCCTACTTCCATAGTGTTTATACTGCTCCTTATTGATTCAGCTTTAGACTCTTCTCCCAACGATTCTTCTGGATTCACATTTTTCTCTTTCTGAACATAGTCACTTTTTATTTCATTCTCATGACCACTTTTAGTCAGACTCATCTCCTGACCATTTTGCTCCATTTGGTGAGTTTCCTGATTTACCTTTTCAGGAGTCTTTTGAACAAGTGTCATATCTGCTGTCTTAATAAAATCCTCAGGTTGCAGGCATGATGTAGCTCTCCTTTTACGCTTTAATTTATTTGTGAGAGGTTGCTCCTGTATCTTTGGTTCTGTAGGAAGTGCTATTCTTATTAGATTTTCAGGTACATGGTTCAAATTAGGGAGGCTTGTCCTCCTCCGATAGGTTTTACCAAATATTTTATCTTCCATATTACTTGAAACTATTTTGAGGCTTTTACTCTCTAAAGAAGTACGAGGATCAGTGGCCAGTAAGTTTATTTTCTTTGAAGGACCAGAATATCCATCTACTTCATGTGGAACTTCTAAGGTACCATCTACTTCAGCATTTGTTTCAGACTTCCCACTGTCATCAGAAGTTAGCATATCATCACTTCTGGTAAGCCAGTCATTAACTTTCTGAATGCTGCTATTTAGAGTTATCCAGGGAACATCTTGGGTACTTCTTGGATTCTCAGAACATTCTTTACACCCACAGCCGGGATCAGCATTCAGATCTACCTTTGTCTCTGCACTGGGAATCTGCCTATCATGACACGTTTCCTTACGTTCAATCCATCTGCTCTGTTGGCTCCTTGCTAAGGCAGGCTGTTTGCTTTTATTACAGAATGCAGCCTTTTCTACATCCATTCTGTCTTTAGTGAGTAATAAACTACTGTTCTCATGCTGTAATGAGCTGGCATGAGTATTTGTGCCACATGGCTCCTCATGCAAGTTTGAAACAGAAATGCTCTGATTCTTTTCTGGATGCCTCTCAGTGGCCTGTTTCCCAATAGTGTTTGAATCATTACTAGTGGATTGATGTCCAATATTTGTTATGTCCTCCTCACAGGAAGCTGAAAGTACACAAAAACAAGGTGCTTCTGCAAAAATACCAACAGAATTATCATGAAAAAAATATATACCTAATACAGTTTGAGAGTAGAAACCAACCATCTTTCTTTCTTTTCCTGTCGGTTGTGGGGCTTGAACTCTGGGCCTGGGCACTGACCCTGAGCTCTTCAGCTCAAGGCGAATGCTCTATCACTTGAGCCATTGTACCACTTCTGGTTTTCTGGGGGCTGGGAAGGTGGCTCAGTGGTAGAGCGCTTGCCTTGCATGCAAGAGGCCCTGGGTTTAATTCCTCAGCACCACATAAGCAAAAAGAGAAAAGCTGGAAGTGGTGCTGTGGCTCAAGTGGTAGAGCGCTAGCCTTGAGCTGAAAAGCTGAGGGACAGTGCCCAGGCCCAGAGTTCAGGCCCCACAACCGGACCCCCCCCCAAAAAAATAGTTTTCTGGCTGGCTTTGAACCGTGATCCTCAGATCTCGGCCTCGTGAGTAGCTAGTATTATAGGTGTGAGCCTATAATGCTGAAGATGTGGCTCACGTATGTACTTTCACAGAATTGCTATTTATTTAGTCATTATTTCCACTCAGACAATGAAAGAAGGAAGGAAAGAAGGAAAGAAATAGAGATCAACTATGAATCATACAGTATATTGTTAAAATTTCATCAGTTTTAGTCCATTGAAATAAATATATTATGACAGCTAAGGAAAAAATGATACTCTAACTCTGGCCAAGAGATACTGTAAATTATAAATGTCCCAAATGGTCTTCTGAAGAATCTAATTACAATATTGTATATACCCACTCTCTCTACAGCATGCCCATTAAGTTAGGAAGACTTTCCTTTACCTCTTTTTGAAGAATCCAAACTGGCTTCAGCACTAGTTCCTTGAGGAATGATTTGTAACAATTCTTCATCTCTTACACTAAAGGGTAAAAGACAGGAACCTTAATAAGAAACACTAGTTATATACTCCTAAGTCTATCAAATGTGCAAGATGAAATATTTTAGCTCCCCTTGGTAGAGTTATAGTAGCTAACCAATGGGATTCACATTTTGACATTTGCTCTCTTTAAGTAAGTTCTAGTCAAAATGAAGTACCAAACACTTAGAATTTAGTCACAAACTCAGAGCAGCAGTTTAGAACAATGCTTTATAAACATGTAAATGAGAATAAAAATTTAAGGATTGCTACAAGATAGCAGATATCCTAACAGAATGTAAAGACCACCATTTTGTTATACTGCTTTCTATGCTTCTTTTCAGGCTAGAACCACTTCTTTGTAATTGATAATGAGCCTGGTACCTGTGCTCATGCCTGTAACCCCAGCTACTCAGGAGGCTGAGATCTGAGGATCACAGTTTGAAGACTGCTCTGGCAGAAAAGTCTGTAAGACTCTTACCTCCAATTAACCACCAGAAAATTGAAGTGGAGCTGTGGAGCAGAAAAGCTTATGGCCATTGCCTAGACCCTGAATTCAAGTCCCACAACCAACCCCCCCCCCATAAAATTACTATATAAAGAACTCAGAGAATGAACCATGCAATAGAAGGAAGTGATTCAAGGGTTCTACTGTTATCCTAAATTCCTTTGGGCATTACAAATAAATAAGTGTGTATGTAGGGAAACTGAAGGCATGGCTCAGGTGGTAAAGTGCCAGCAAATGAGTAAAATCATTAGATATCATCAGTTCAAGTCCTGGTCCTGGGGAAAAGCTAGTTAACTAAATAAATAAAGGCTAGAGGCATGGCTCAGCAGTACATCTGTCTGCCTAGCAAGCAGAAAGTTCTGAGTCCAAGCCTCAGTACTAAAAAAATGAAAAAAAAATATAAAAGGTTTCCTCTGGTATAAAATGAAAGGATGCAAACTGATGATCTCTAAGGTCTCTTTTAATACCAAGATCCTAATTAAGAGAAACTCTAATCTTCAGCATTAACTAGATATAAATGTCAGTTTTTGTAGACAAAGGCTTCTTTTGACTCACCTGCAATAATTTGATATATAACTTGTTTCTTCAGATGAATCAGATCCTAAAAAATAAAAAGTAAAATCCTCAAAAGCAAATAAGTAAAATTTTTTAAATTAAAAGGGTGAAACTCAGGAGGGATGGGAGAGAATGTTGAAAGGGGTGGCAATGATCAAGATGTATTATATTCATAAACTGCTTTGTTATAAGGAAACTCCTTTGTACAATTAAAGATAAAAAACAATAAAAAGTGAGTGTTAAACTCAAAAAGTATAGTTGTTGTAAAACAGATACTCATTCATCTAGTTCTATTTACTGAGCACCTACTATTTGGCAGGTGCACTAGATGTCAGGCCAAGAAAAAAAGGGGCTGAAAGTATAGGCTCTGAAGCCTTTTCAGAGCTGAGTCCACATTTTACCCACTCACGAGAGCTAACTTGAGAACACCTCTTAACCACTCTGTGACTTAATTGCTCCAACTGTAAAGTAAGTGTAACAAAACCAAATAATCTCAGAGGTTTGACATCATCATAAACGAGCTTACAGTACCTGAAATATATAATATAGTTAAGTACCCCTGAGGATTAACTACTGTAATTATTTAAACTATTTTTTTAATGACCTAACAACTGTTGGCAATAGATTCATTGTCTTATGGGTCAGAGACAAGCAGGTAATTTCATTAAAATCCAGTAAGTGTGGTGGTAAACATATGGTGGGACCTGGGATCTCAAAAGGGGACCATTTGTCCCAATTCTAAGAGATAAGGCAATGGAGAAACCTGTTTGAGTTCAACTCTCCTTTTTTTTTGGTGGTACTGTACTCAGGACCTCCTGTTTGCTAGGTCCTTACTTTTGCCTGGCACTCTACTTCTTGAGACCTACTTCAGCCCTGGGCTGTTCTTAAGACTTCTAGTATATAAATCCCTCTAAATACTATATACCAACCCATCATGTTCCTTTTTATTGCTAGTTCCCATTTTTCTAAAGGTTATTTACATATACTTATAACTATAGTCTTTCTTTTGCTGTCTTTATAAAGGTTCCTCAAGGTAGTGACTGCACCTTTTACATTATTTATGACTCACTACAAAGTTTATGAAATCATTTTATTTTCATTTCCCAAAGCTCCCTGCCACATGTATAAATTATGACTAAGGTTTCTGGTAAAACTATAAGACAAGCCATAAAGCAAGTATTAGTTTGCACTTACAAAATCTGAGAGCCTTACCCAATTCAATGTAGACAGATTTATTTTGAGGCTGTATCTGCTTCTTTGTCTTCAGAGAGCTCACAATCCCAAGTTTAGAGAGTTGGACACTAAGACTGACGTCCTGCTAAGCAGTGAAGAATGATCAATTGTTGGCCAATTCTATGCTTCTTTTTTTTTGTCAGTCGTGAGGCTTGAACTCTGAGCCTGAGCTCTTCAGCTCAAGGCTAGTGTTCTACCACTTGAGCCACAGTGCCACTTCTGGTTTTCTGGTGGTTAATTGAAGATAAGAGTCTCATGGACTTTTGTGCCCAGGCTGGCTTTGAACCATGATCCTCAGATCTCCTGAGTAGCTAGGATTACAGGCATGAGCCACTGGCACCCAACTATGTGTGATTTTTATAAGTATTAGAATAGCATATATTTTTTTTTTTTTTTTTTGTCGGTCGTGGGGCTTGAACTCTGGGCTTGGGCGCTGTCCCTCAGCTCTTCAGCTCAAGGCAAGTGCTCTACCACTTGAGCTACAGCGCCATTTCTGGTTTTCTGGTGGTTTATTGGAGATAGGAGTCTCACAGTCTCTCCTGCCCGGGCTGGCTTTGAACCTCGATCCTCAGATCTCAGCCTCCTGAGTAGGTAGGATTACAGGCGTGAGCCACCAGCGCCCGGCTAGAATTGCATATTTTGATATAATTTTTTTCTTTTCTTTTTTTGCCAGTCCTGGGGCTTGAACTCAGAGCCTGGGCACTGTCCCTGAGCTTCTTTTGCTCATGGTTAGTGCTCTACTACTTGAACCACAACACCACTTCTAGTCTTTTCTTTTTATGTGGTACTGAAAAATCAAATCCAGAGCTTTAGGCATGCTAAGCAAACACTCTACCACTAAGCTACATTCCTAGCTCACTTGATATAATTTCTGACAAGAGGTTGGCAACTAAGGCAAGATAAATTTTAAGGGGCCGAGAAAGTGGCTCAGTGGTAGAATGCTTGCCTTGCATGCATGAGGCCCTGGGTTCAATTCCTCAGCACCACATAAGCAGAAAAGGGACAGCTCCCAGGCCCAGTGTTAAGGCCCCATGACTGACAAAAAAATAAATAAATAAATAAATAAAATAATAAATTTTAATAAAGGAAAACAACAATAAAGCCCCAGTATTCCTAAGAACATTTAGTAAAGGAAACAATGCTTAAAAGCCCAACATTAATTTACTGAAGCTTTCCTTCTTACTATTTCACCCATCAATGACTGCTAGTCTCATTTTTTTTTTTTTTAAAGCACTAGCCTTGAGCTAGTACTCTACCACTTGGGCCACAGTTCTACTTCTGGCTTTTTTGGTGTTTCCCAGGGATTTTCCTGCCCAGGCTAACAGGAAAATGGACCATGATCCTCAGATTTTAGCCTGTTGAGTAGCTAGGATTACAGGTGTGAGTCACTGGTGCCTGGCTACAAATTTTTTTTTTTTCTTGTCATTCTTGAGGCTTGAAATCAGGGCCTGAGCACTGTCCCTGAGCTTTTTCACACAAGACTAGTGATGTACCACTTTGAGCCACAGCACCACTTCCAGTTTTCTGGTAGTTAATTGGAGAAAAGAGTCTCATGGACTTTCCTACCCAGGCTGATTTCAAACCATGGTCCTCAGATCTCAGCCTCCTGAGTAGCTAGGATTACAGGTGTGAGTCACCAGCACTTGATTGGAAGTGATTTTTAAATGCTTAAAAGGATCAGTGAGTTTGTGGCTCTTTGAGAGGGCAAGGGTAAGGTCTCTTGACCACAGAACATACTCTAACTTTCTGAATGCCTCTAATGCTTACTAATCAAAATTCTTGCCCAGCCAGGTGCCAGTGGCTCACTTCAGTGCTCAGAACTACTCAGCAGGCTATGATGCTGAGAATGCTGGTTCAAAGCCAACCCAGTGGAAAAATCTGAGATCCATCTCTAACTAGCAAAAAAAGGGCTAGAAGCATGGCTCAAGTTGTAGAATGACACACAAGCAAATAAGCCAGCCAACTGCATTTAAACCCTCAAAATTGTCCAACCACTCAATTTACTACCTCCATTTCTTTACTAATCTTAAAAACATTGAAAATATTCACTAATAGTGGGGGAGCAGGGGGAGGATGGGAAGGGATGGGAAGGGGAAACAAAGGAGGAGGCTACAATGCTTGATAAGAAATGTACTCATTATCTTGCCTATGTAATTGTAACCCCTCTGTACAGTATTTCCACAATAAAAAAAAGAAAAAAAAAGAAATGTACTCATTATCTTGCCTATGTAATTGTAACTCCTCTGTTCAGTATTTTCACAATAAAAAAAAAGTACAGTCTCATTAAAAAAAAAAGAAAAAGAAAATATTCACTAATGCACAATGCTTAATAAAGAGATGCTGATAGATGAAATGAAAATGGCTTTACCAATGTAGAATTTTGAGATTCATTCTGTCGAAACTTTTTGGCACGGTCTCGGTAGCCCAAACTTTGGATGACAGAAATCTCTTCCTCTAAATGTTCAGGAGACTTATTCTTCTTTGAAAAGTTATAATTCACATTTGCAACTATAAATTACAAAGAAGTATATTAGTTAGAAGTCATTTAATTTTCATTAAAGAAATCCTGTGTTTGCTTTTTGTATTTCTGTGCTGGGTTGGGGGCTTGAACTCAGGGCCTAAGCATTGTCCCTGAGATCCTTTGCTCAAGGCTAGCACTACAACTGGAGCCACAGCTCCACTTCCAGTTCTGGTAGTTTTAGTAGAGATATGAGTCTCTGGTGGCTTAAAACTGCAATTCTCAGATCTCAGCCTGAGTAGCTAGGAGTACAGGTGTGAGCTACCAGTTCCTGAACTGTTTTGTTTGGTGCAAATATTAGAGCCTGAGCTCAGAACTTCACACTCTTGCTTTAATTAGTGTGTGTGTTTGTGTGTGTGCATGCGTGTGCACACCAATCCTGGGGAATTAAGGAGCATGAACTCAAGGCCTGGGTGCTCTCCCTGAGTTTTTTGGCTCATAGCTAGTGGTTTAGCACTTGAGCCACAGCTTCACTTCTGGTAGTTTTAGTGGAGATAAGAACCTCACATACTTTCCTGTTCAGGCTTGCTTTGCATTGTAATTCTCAGATTTCAGCCTCCTGAGTAACTAGGATTACAGGCATGAGCCATCAGTGCCTGGATTGATTTTCTTGCTCAATGCTGAAGTTCTACTAGTTGAGTTATGCCTCCAATCCAACTTTTTGCTAGTTAATTAGAGATGGAGTGTTATGGGCTTTTCTGCTTAGTCTAACTTTAATTGTGATCCTCTTACATCTCAGCCTTCTGAATAGCTAGGACTATAGGGGTGAGCCACAGTCCCTAGTTGTGTTTGCTCTTTATATAATCCCACGCCTAGGGAGACTAAGGCAGGAAGATTGCTAAATTTGAGGCTGTTAGGTTATACAGAAAGACCATATCTTTTTTTTTTTTTGGTCGTTGTAGGGCTTGAACTCTGGGCCTGGGAGCTATCCCTGAGCCTCTTTGTGCTCAAGGCTAGCAATCTACCACTTGAGCCACAGTGCCACCTCCAGTTTTTTTTTAATTCTACCTTTTTTTTTTTGGCAGTTGGAGGGCTTGACTCTGGGCCTGGGCACTGTCCCTCAGCTCTTCAGCTCAAGGCTGGTGCTCTACCACTTGAGCCACAGCGCCACTTCCATTTTTTTTCTGTTTATGTGGTACTGAGGAATCGAACCCAGGGCCTCATGCATGCAAGTCAAGCACTCTACCACTGAGCCACCTTCCAGTTTTTGAGTGGATAATTGTAGATAAGAGTCTCATGGGGACTTTTCTGCCTAGGCTGGCTTCAAACAGCAATCCTCAGATCTCAGCCTCCTGAGTAGCTGGGATTACAGGTGTGAGTTACTAGTGCATACAACTTTGAAAATTCTATACCTAGGAAGCAAACACAGAATGTCCAAGTTACCTCTATTCTAACAAATTTGCCTCTTAATACCATATTACACTGAATATAAGACATCACAATTATTTTCTATTACTAAGACACTACTGAATTAAACAATGACATAACATTGTTAAAATGTCCCTAATTTCAGATCTTAAGATTTTTTTTGAAAGATATACATCTAAAGTCTCACAGAATAAGGTGTGAAACTGAACTGATTTAAAATACAGCTTACAGATATGGAGCTAAATTAACTTAGACCAAAAGGTCTTAGTGCCTACTCAAAGAAAAAAATTGTGCAAACATCCTGAGTTTTTATGGATGACTACTTGAACACTGCCTCTAGGGCTATGCAACACTTACACTGCAATCCTGTGTCAAGTTCAAAAGCATGAATGATTCGCAATAGCTCTTCAACAAGTTGACTAAATCTTGTACTTTCTTGTAGACTCCTGAAATTAAATTGTTTCAGAGATGTACTTAGCAAGTGATTATTACCATTTTTTTGGGGGGGGATCGGTTCTGGGGCTCTGGGATAGAGCACTATCCCTCAGTTTCTTTTGCTCAAGGTTAGTGTTCTACCACTTGAATCACAATGCCACTTCTAGCTTTTTCTCTCTTTTTTTTTTTTTTGGTGGGTTTTGGGGCTTGAACTCTGGGCCTGGAGCTGACCTTCAGCTCTTCAGCTCAAGGTGAGCACTCTACCACATGAGCTACAGCGCCACTTCCAACTTCTGGCTTTTTCTGAGTGTAGTTTATTGGAGATAAGATCCTCACAGATTTTCCTGCCTGGGCTAGCTTCAAACTGCCATTCTCACATCTCAGACTCCTGAGTTGCTAGGATTATAGGCATAAACCCCAAGCCCCTAGCCCCCAGCAATTATCACTCTTCTAAGGACATTAAAAGAAGGAAAATACTCATGAATACTACCCTGAATTCATAATAGATATAAATCCACTGCCTGGAGAATATACTAGTCTTAACATGCAAGTCCTATTTAATCTCACACAGCTAGTTCTGCTTCCAAGAGATTTCCATCAAATGATGATTCTACTTCTTGAAAAACAGATACCAATGTCCAAAGAGAGATTTTGGTTTAGAAAAGTAGAAGAAAAATTGTAATTCAATCTTTGCACTATGTTCCAGAATGCACACTATGTATGAACCAGACATTGGAGAAATACTATTGATTGAGAGACAAAGCCAATGCCCTACACCTCCCTTATGCTGGGAGAGACACATAATATATAAATATATTGCATGTTGGTAAATAATTAGTATAAATAAAAGCAATGAAAGGCTGGTAATGTGGCTTAGTGGCAGAGTGCTTGCCTAGCATACATGAAGCCAAGGGTTTGATTCCTCAGTACTAATATAAACAGAAAAAGCCAGAAGTGGCACTGTTGCTCAACTGATAGAGCGCTAGCCTTGAGCAAAAAGTATCTCAGGGACAGCACCCAGGCCCTTGAGCCCCAGGACAAGAAAAAAAAAAAAAAAAGATTGTGATTTCTTTTTTTCTTTATTTGCCAGTCCTGGGGCTCAAACTCAGGCATTGTCCCTGCGCTTCTTTTGATCAAGGCTAGCACTCTACCAATTAAGCCACAGTACCCCTTCCGGCTTGTTTCTGTGATGTGGCTGAGGAATCAAACCCAGGGTTTCATGCATGCTATGCAAGCACTCTACCACTAAGCTATATTCCCAGCCCAGATTCTGATCTCTTAAAATATTTGGAAGCATTAGCAAAAGGCAATACAAGTTAATCTCCTCTTTGAGATACCACCCTTTCTCTTGAAGGTGTGAGCCTATTTGTCTTAATAAACAGTATTGGGGCTGGGAAGGTGGCTCAGTGGTAGAGCGCTTGCCTTGCATGCCTGAGGCCCTGGGTTCAATTCCTCAGCACCACATAAGCAAAAAGAAAAAAAAAGCCGGAAGTGGCGCTGTGGCTCAAGTGGTAGAATGCTAGCCTTGAGCTGAAGAGCTGAGGGACAGCGCCCAGGTCCAGAGTTCAGGGCCCACGACTGACCGGACTCCAAAAAAAAACAAAAAACAAAAAACACATTAGGGGCTGGGAAGGTGGCTCAGTGGTAGAGTGCTTGCCTTGCATGCTGAGGCCCTGGGTTCAATTCCTCAGCACCACATAAGCAAAAAGAAAAAAGCCGGAAGTGGCGCTGTGGCTCAAGTGGTAGAATGCTAGCCTTGAGCTGAAGAGCTGAGGGATAGTGTTCAGGCCCAGAGTTCAGGCCCCACAACTGGACCCCCCCAAAAAAACACATTAGTATTGCTTTCACTACAAAAAACAAAACAAAACAAAACAATGGGGGGGTACTGAAAAGAAATAACAAAAGATGGGAGGAAGGAAGAGAATGAAGAAAGGAGTGAGAAAGGATAAAATGAAGAAAGGGAGTAAACAAAGAGACAAAGGAAAGGAGAAAGGAAGAAAAGGAAGGAAAAAAGGCAATGGTATGTTGTCATCTATGGCCATATCACACTGAACATACCTGATCTCATCTGATGTAGGAAGCTAAGCAGAATTAGGCCTGGTTAGTATTGGATGGGAAAAAACAGTATTATGTTGCTAATGCCTATATAATGTAGATGCTATAAAACTTTCAGGAAAATAACTTTAGAAATAATTTACTGTCTGCTAAGCACTTTTATTTCTTTTTTGGTCAGTCATGGGGCTTAAACTCTGGGCCTGGGCACCGTCCCTGAGCTCTTCAGCTCAAGAAAAGCACTCTACCACTTGAGCCACAGCACCATTTCCGGTTTTCTGGTAGTTAATTGGAGCTAAGAGTTTCGTGGACTTTCCTGCCCAAGCTGGCTTTGAACCTCGATCCTCAAATCGCAGCCTTCTGAGTAGATAGGATTATAGGTGTGAGCAACCAGTGCCCCATTGCTAAGCACATTTTTATAATTTTTCTGCTGATGAATTGTTTTACAGGAACACCAACAATGTTATCAAAAAATTTCTAGCCGGGCGTTGGTGGCTCATGCCTGTAATCCTAGCTACTCAAGAGTCTGAGATCTGAGGATCATGGTTCAAAGACAGCCTGGGCAGGAAAGTCCGTGAGACTCCTATCTCCAATTAACCACCAGAAAACCAGAAGTGGTGCTGTAGCTCAAGTGGTAGAGTGCTAGCCTTGAACTGAAGAGCTGAAGGACAATACTCAGGCCCAGAGTTCAAGCCCCACAACCAACAAAATAAAAAATAAAATTCTACTTTTTTTGTACCAGTCCTAGGGTTTGAACTCAGGGCCTGAGCAATGTCCCTGAGATTTTTTTCTCCCAAGGCTAGCTAGAGTTCTACCACTTGAGCCACAGTTTCATTTCTAGCTTTTTGGTGATTAAGTCTCATGGACTTTCCTGCCTGGACTGGATTTGAACTGTGATCCTCAAATCTCAGCCTCCTGAGCAGCCAGGATTATAAGCAGGAACCATTGGTACCCAGCAAGAATTTCTACCTTTTCCTGCCATTGTTGCTTCCAACCTCCCATGATTACACAAATTATATACCTTTTGGTAATATCATTCTTACACAAAGGACACTGTGAAGGCCCTTTCTTCTGGTTGAGAAGTTTCAGCATACAAAATCTATAAATTATAAAAAAAGAGAAAAGAACAATTCAAGTTACTTTCTTCTGTAGGAAGAATACTCAAAGGTAAACAGCTATGAAAAGATAATCTCATAACTGCCTTTAAGAGTCACTTAAAAGGGAAGACAGGTGAATTACTATCAATGGTTTTTTTATTCTTGTTTTTAATATATAAGCAGAAAACCAAACTATGTAAGAAATGATCTCTAAAAATTCGGATGTACACACTTATGGCTTACTGTTATTACCAAATAAAATGTATTAGGTTAATATAGTATATCTAATGATATAATTATTTCAAAGCATAATCAGACATAAATGGCTAGGTAATTCATGTGAAATGATCATTAGCTTAAAACACAGTGTAACAGTTGAGTTCTAGAGTATATCCTAGCCAGGCGCCGGTGGCTCACGCCTGTTATCCTAGCTACTCAGGAGGCTGAGATCTGAGGATCAGGGTTCAAACCCAGCCCGGGCAGGAAAGTCCGTGAAACTCTTATCTCCAATAAACCACTAGAAAACCAGAAGTGGCTCTGTGGCTCAAGCGGTAGAGCACTCGCCTTGAGCTGAAGAGCTGAGGGACAGCACCCAAGCCTAGAGTTCAAACCCCATGACTGACAAAAAAA